TCTACCTTTGGTTTTTTTCTCTTTCTCTTGTATGTAACCCCTGCCCCCCTTGTTCTATAAAAGGGAGGGCAGGGCACCCCACTAAGGGGACGGATCATTTTTAATACACAAGATATAGCTAAGCAGCAACCAAGCTCTTGGCGTCCTTTCGACCTTTCCATCAGAGACTTGGGACTTGTCCCTCTCTCTACCGTTGTACCCCCTACTACGAACCTTTTTCGGTACTAATAACACGAGCAGCAGCAGACTAGACGTAGGGACATTCTGTCCGAACCAGTATAAACCTTGTGTCCTTTAGTACACCATCCGAGCCTAACGCGCAACAATTATAAATTTACTAGCCGGTGCTTGTTCGAAACACCGATACGTGACATTTGATGAATCTAATGGCTCTCAAGTAGAGCAAGTTGATTCAAGTGTTGTAGGAAAACAGGATCCACCATGTGAAGCAATCAAGCAATTAGCAATTGGTGATATTAGACCACAAGAAGATAAAGCCACTGAAGTGGAGATTCCTCAAGTTGTTGCTGCACCAATTTCCGCTGACGTACCTAATGCTACACTATAGCAAACACCTGCTGCAACTCTAGAGCGCAGCAGTGCCGCACTTGAGGGTGGCAGTGCCGCACCTACATAATCAGCAGCAGCTGATTCGACTCCAGCTCGTGGACAAAACCTACAACCCATATTTGAGCAAGATGATGATGAAGATCTAGAAGATGAACAAGAGGCCATTGAGCATCCAAGGCTAAGGCAACTTCTCCACTTGTACCTCTATGATCGTCTTACTACTTGGAGTAAGAAGTTTGTGTTTAACTTCGGCATTGATTTCTTAAGAAAGCTACCTTTGTGCATTATAAACTTGCGGGTTGGTCGTCCATCCTTATGGTGGGTACTCTAGTAGAAGGGCCCTGATAGAGACAGATAACCCTTGCATGCGCGCTAGAGTAATAGTCGATAGCGTAGACGTGGTGTCTAGGCTAGAAGCTATGTTCGTTTGCCTTGTTCCCCACGGTTGAGGGGTAGGCGGCAGGTGGTGATAGCCCTGTCCGTCCCTTATAATCCCCCACGTGGTGTCCGGGTTCGACGTAGAGCTATAGGCCGGTATCGCTTGGCAGACCAGGTGTACACCGGTGCCCAAAGTAAGTCTATAGTGTCAAAGTAAACTCCACTTAAGATATCTACCCTTAGAAAAATCTCACTACCCAAGCTACCTTTCACTTGTTTTCTTTAGGTAAACTAGCTAAGAGACTTACACACTTGTTCCTTTGGAAAAATACGATACCCTGAATACTTCCGGGTGAAGTGCTACAACGGTGTATCCGTGTGCTTGCGGATTGCTCTGCTTACGCTAAGAAATACCAACAACAAGAAGCCCTCCGGTGTCATCCATTACAAAAAATTTGTTGAGAGGCTAACTTTATGTATGGGTATCCTCTCTTGACATTCAACTCTGCTTTGAGCAACTTTAACAGATTTACTTTTCATTCACACTACTACGTGCAGTCAAGGCTAGACATTAACAAGGCTCACCCACCAACACAAGAAGCTTTCTAGAATGTATTGCAGTGTGGGGTACGGTAGGCACACTACAGGTTGAAGCAAACCTACTTCAATGGCATCCCTACTGATTAGATCCGTCGACCTCTCCTGTCTCGTCCATGAGCGATGCACAGTGGTGTGAGCTTATCGAGACTTGGTCTAGTCCTAAGAACAAGGTGTATGTGAACCCATCGATTTCCTGTCTAGTCTTGCTATGGTCTACTTGTGCTGCAGTCTAACACAAATGAAGCTATAGGAAACATCTGAAACGAACAAGCGAAACCGTGCAAAAGTGAAGTACCACCAGTCTACAAGATCACGCTCCTTTGTTGTCTAGCTACAAACATTTCTAAGTGATGGTTGTGTTTTATTGTTACTCTTGCCTTTGTATAAATATAAACAGAAACTCATGTGCAATGTGAACAGAAGGAGAACAAGAGGAAGGCCGCAGAACATAATCAAGGACTTGATGAACAACATGATGATCCAGGACTTGAACAACATGGTCGACCTAATGAAGATGTTAAGACTTCCATACCAGTACGAAAAAGGGCCTGAGCGATGCTGCAAGAGCAGCAGTTGTAAGTACCTTCATTTGCTTTCCTTGAAATCTACTGAACCCATTGCCATAAAAGAAGAAAATACAGCAGCAGCCTAATGTGGCAACATTATTTAATTTTGTAGTTGCAATTTTACACCAATCAATATGGTACCTGACATTGCGCTTATGTAATCTCTATTAGTAGTAGGCTGCAAAAGACCTATGCATTATACTTATGTAATCTCTATCAGCAGTAGGCTGAGGAAGTCCTATGCATTACTTGTTATGAATTAATCTCTTGGGTTTTCAATTGAAGTCCGCTTCCATTATCTGTAACCTAATGTTTTACTGATTGAATTTCGTAGGAAGCTATGCAAGCTGATCTTGTTTTCAAGGTCCTCTGCCTCTCCCAGGGCATGCCCCCTCCTAGGCAAGCAGGAAAAACCCTTTTTTGTAGAATGCTGGTATTCTGAGAAGCTCCACCAGAACAGAGACGTCGGCGGAGACGACACTTCGGGAGCAGCTTGCTGGTGAATAGGAAAGTACCGCTGTCCTCGTCGAACTAGTGGATGAACTAAAGAGGAAGACAGAAGAGTCTAAAAAAGGAGTTTGAGGAATTCAAGAAACGGCAACAAGAGGAGTACAATAGGCTCTGTGGGCAAGTTATGTGCTTAAGCTCTCCTGGTAATTAACTCTCAGTCTTCAACTCCTGCGGCTTGATGAGGTGAACATATGTGGTCTGTTGTATGGACTCATGTGATGGTTTGTTGTGGTGATACTCTGTCAGGGGCTTGTTGCTGACATGTGAAATATTAATTGTTGATATTTGATTGCCAGCTTGAATAATTATGTTGTCAATCTGTGTAGTAGTGACGATCTCGAATTACTTTTCTAATGTAATTAGTTCTGCACGTGGTAGAACCAGGACAGACCACATGATCAAATAAAAATGCAACACGTGGATCAACCAATGCATGACACGTGAATTGGCCAGGGCACGAAACATGAGCTATTAAAAATTCGACACGTGGAAGAAAATCGTCAAGCCACGTGGACGTATAAAAATACGACACGTGGACGGACAGCATCGTGGCGCGTGGTCAAATAAGAAACGGACACGTGGACCAATAATAATATGACACATGGTCCAATAAAGAAGTGACACGTGATCCAACAGCAACACGACACGTGTGCCAGTAGAAAACTGACATGTGGAATAACAATGAACCAACACGTGGTATAGTAAAAACCTGAAACGTGCAAGAACCAGAGATGGCCACGTTGTGCAATAAGAAGGTGACACGTACCCGAACCATCTCCAATGCAAACGGCTATAGCATGTACACGTGGAAAGCATCTCCAACGGAAGCACCCACCAGCGTGGCAGCCCCCCTGCCACGCATGCCAAAATAGTTCTATGAGGTTCTGTTTTTCGTCACAGATCAAGTCACTTCTATGACGATTTGCGAAAACCGCCATAAAAGTTCAAATGTGACGTGACTTCTGTGACGAACTGTTTTTCGTCATAAATTCGTCATAGAACTGAAATAATGATAAATTTGGCTCCTTCAGTGATAAAAGTTATTCGTCATAGAAGTGGATATTTCTAGTAGTGATCAACTGTCTTCTCAAATTCCTTTGAGAATCTGTAGAATAGATTCTTAGTGTACACAGTAGCAGCGTGTTTCTCTATTAGATACCTGGACCATCTCCTCCGTTCCTTTTCATCTGTCCTAAAGTCTTGTCCATCTTGAGCAACAAGGCATTTGTCCTGAATTTTTTGCTCAACAAAGTGCAGGATAGACATGTTGGGGTTCACATACTTCTTCAAAAGTGCATTGAATCCCTCACTTCTCTGAGTTGATTGCAAGAACGGGAAGAAGCAGTGCATATAATATGCAGGGACAAAACACTGCCTGAGGTCATATAGATGCTTAAAATGCTCATTGTCATGTAGGCCATGCTTACTTATCATGTCATACCATTTTGTCTCAAACTCCTCCGGAGTCACTGTGTAGTTAATACAATCTGTGAATTCTTCTTCTAACTCTTGATTTCCAGCAAGACATGGTCCTATTGTGCCTGAAAATTTATCCATAATGTGTCAGCGACAATTCCGATGTGTTGCATTTGGGAATACAAGTGTGATAGCACTTCTCATAGCAGCATCCTGATCCGTTATGATGTTCAACGGTGCCTTGCCTTCCATGGCTTCTAGAAACGTCTCAAACAACCATTTGTAGTTAGGTATCTTTTCATCCCTTAGGAAGGCACACCCCAGCTAGAATGTCTGACCATGTCTGTTGATCCCAATAAACGATGCAAATGGCATGTCATACATATTCGTCATGTAGGTTGCATCAAACGAGACACAATCGTGGTAGGACTCGATATAAGCGTGCCTCGATGCACTATCAACCCAGAACAAGTTTTGAAATCTATGTTCATCATCCAACTTGAATTTGTAGAAAAAATCAGGATCTTCTTCTCTCAGCACCCTAAAGTGATCTAATGCTTGCTGCATGTCCTTGAACTTTTCTGTTTTTCGGATAGTGGAGCGGAAGTTGCTCACATCTTTAGCTTCATATGGGGTAAGCTGTGCTGAGCCATAGAACTCTGACATAAGCTGCATTATGCGCCCTGTGGTTAAGTTGCACCCATGAAGCAACCTAACAAAGTCTTTTTCCTCCGTAGGGATCCCTTTGTGAGACCTCAGGAACTTTTTCAGTGAAGGTTTCAAAATAAGTTCATGGTTGTGATCTGGAATGAAGTCAATCACTCTCCACCTTGAACCTATTAGCTTCACAACCATTCTTGCTTTGCAATTTGTGTATTGCACCTTCTCTTTTTTTCTTTTCTTTCCTCCATCAAGTTTTTTCTTCTTCTCAGCATCTTCCTCATCTTCGTCTGTCTCTTCTTATGTATCTTCTTCAGTAGAATCACCATTCTCAGTACCATCAGCAGCACCCTCGATTGGTTTCTCATCTTTCCTTTTCCTCCCACTACCTTCTTTGTTACAAACGAACTGAACTTTGGACATTTCCCTTGTCACAGCAGCTCTACGAGGGGTGCCTGTACGGATGGAGAAACCCACTCTCTTAGCATATGCGTTGTAATACTCCTTCGCTTCCACTTTAGTACCAAATGTCTGTCCATTGAACGGTATCTGAGGTGTGGACATGACCTCTTCACCAACTTCATCAGGGATTATTTGCACTGTACCATTACCAGCAGCTAGCTACTCATCACCATTAGAGGTTCCAGGAACATCCTCTATTCTTGCTTCTTCAAACGATAGCCTGATTTCAGAGACAGTAGGCACATCCTGTTGGTTGGGTAGTTGCTGAGTGCAGAATACTGGATCACATGCATCTGTTGGATCTTGAAACATTGCATCTAGGAAATCATAGTCAAATTCTGGTGGAGGGAGATTTAAGTCCATAATGCTTGTTCTACTCCGTCGCCTACAAATGAAAAGATAATGTGTTAGTGCAGTGATATTTATGATTTTAACACAAGGTGGTACTGATTTGGGGCAACATAGGCACCTCTATTTAAGCAACATAGGTACTACTATGAAACAATAATGTCTTCTCACATAGGCAACATATGGTTTCTATTTTTTTTAACATATGCATCCTTTTTTATTAATCCCCATCGAGCACCCAATATCTGACACATGTTATCCTTTTTTTTTAAAAGCAGGTCATGTACAGAGAAGCAACAAAAACCAATCACACTATGCAGGTAAGCACGCAAATGTGTGTTTTTTGCTAGGTACTAGAAGTATAGTGTTGTGCTCTAGGAAAATGTAGATGAAAATGTGTTTCCTTTTTCTGGAGATGACCTTACTGCGTGTTTTTCTTTTTCTGAATATATTGCCCATTTCTGTGAATGTATACATGCAGTACCTACTGTTTTTGGCAACATAAGGCACCTCCAATTTTCTGAATACACTGGTGTAGCAATAATTACTTGGGTGCACCAACAATTGCTTGGGTAAATGCAAAATGAGTTTTGTTTTCTGCAGTTGGTTTTTTATTACTTGGGTGCATCAATAATGAGCATTCAGCAATACATGCCAACCATTCAAAGCCCTTGGAGCAATATAAGGTTTTCTCATATCAAGCAATAATACTACTAGTTTCAGACAATAATGTCTTCTCAAATAGCAACATAAATTTTTTTTCATTTCCATGCTTTTTTAAATCTCTTTTTCCCCAGGAACAAATTTGTGACACATGTTAACTATTTTTTAAACATGCAGGACATGTACAGAGAAGCAAGATGCAGGCAAATGTACAGCTTATCCTCACCTTGCAACATAGGGGCTAGAATCTAGTTTTATCACGTTTTTACTAGGGATCATTTCTATACTGCTATGCTCTAAGGAAACTGCATATGGCAAATGTTTTCTTCTGATGGGATGGCAAACCAAAAACCAATCAGCTTAAACTGCAGATGCATGTTTTCCTTTTTTTCTGAACAAATACATGCTAGTACCTAAAACCATAGTTCTCCTTTACAAATTGTAGCAGAAAGGATATTAATCCCCAAGGTCCATGATGGATATGCAGACAAGTACATGTGCTCTGAGATGGAGTATTATGAATAACTTTTGGAGTAGGCAAATCAGCTCTCCATACCTGACTGTGATTTGTTTTTTCTCTGGCTTCTTCTGTTCTGCGGCTGACTAGGTGTTGGAGGCGCCGTCCTGGGCCACCTGGTGGCCCCCAGGAAGCCGGCGGCGCCGTCCAATAAGCCGTAGTTGCCTGTTTTTTTTTCCTTTTTTGTTCTACATTTACCTGATTGGCGGCGGCTCCACAACAGCCGTAGATAGTTCCAGAAACAAGGGAGGGGCAGATTTGCCTTAGGCCATGTTTAGTTGTCCGAATTCATGAATTTGGCACTATGCAAAAAGAAGATTCCCCGTCACATTAAATTTATGGTACATGTATGGAGTACTAAATGTTGATGAAATCAAAAACTAATTGCACAATTTGGTTGTATTTTGCGAGACGAACGTTTTGAGCCTAATTAGTCAACGATTGGACAATTATTACCAAATACAAACGAAACGCTACAGTGCCCTAGGTTTTCGGCGGCGCCGAATCCGGCCGGAACTAAACGCGGCCTTATTTCCCAAGCCGCGTGGTCGGTATTGGGCCTGAGCCTCGGAAGCCGCGAACTCTTCCCGCGCGAGCAAATCAGCTCGATTAGCATTGCATTGTTGCCGGAAAAAGAAATACAAAAACTGCACTTACTATAAAGGGGGTAAGGCCGTCAGCCTGTTTGTTTCGGCTGAAACGATTATAGATTATTACTGTTGGCTAGTTTGTGTCGATGCGGGACCCACGGGATACTCCACAAGGAAGAGAGGAGATCTAGTTTGATTAGGATTCCTCCCATGTAATTCTAGTACTAATACTACCCTGTAATCCTACTAGGACTCTACATTGTAAACTGACTAGGACTCTGGCCTCCTGACTATATAAAGGAGGGCAGGGCTCCTTAGATCGGGAGGTCGGAAGGGGAGTTCAGAAGAACAGAAGAGACAACACTTTACAATCAATCCAACGCAAAGGCTAACGCCAACTGAACGTAGGGCTATTACTCGATCACGGTCGAGGGTCCGAACCAGGATAAATCGACTGTCTCTTGCATTTACCGTCGAGTTCTGCATACGCTGAAGCCCGAACAAACTGCCCCGGGTACCCCGTGACAGGCTCTCGGGGGTGAAACATCGACAGCTGGCGCGCCAGGTAGGGGCTTTCGGCGCAATTGCATTCGAGAGCTCGATGGACCTCAAGATCAATATTCGCAGCCCTCGTCGACAACTCGCTGTGGCTCTCATCGGCCCTGGTCGACGACTCGCCGTGCTCACGATCTTCTTCAGCGTCGTCTGTGGTCTGGAGTTTTCAGCTACTGCAATGAACGTTGGATCCAATTTTGAATCTCGCCGAGACGAATCCTTCTACTTCGTCTCCCCCACAACCACACCACAAAAGTGTCAGGATCGGGAGATACAAATTGATGTGGTGGCAGTCTAAGCGGCGATGCATCAACAGGCAAACAAGGAAGCGTGATCAGACATGCAGGCCAACTGCAGGTTGTCACGATAAGACTCGCATGCATCATGTACAGCACGAACTCGCAGCAATTTGGGTTCGGCGACAACTCGGCGTCTCGCGCCAGACAGCTTGCAACGAGAACTCATGACCCGAGACAACTAGCCAGGATACTCCGAATCGACTATGCCTTTGTCCAAAAGCCTGACTTTGCATCGGATGCGGCGTGAAGTCTAGCGACAGCTCGAGTCGAAGGATGTACAGCAACAACCTGGAAGATGTTCACGGGAAGCTACAAGGATTACTCGGACTCAACGTACTGATCTGGAATGGGTCCGGTCGATCATGGATTGGTCTGTGAACTACTCAACCGGATGCTGCGAATGATCTATTTTCATCAACAACCACCCTGCTGTGGTATCCGACTACTCTGTTGCGGTGTCCGACTACTCGTCCGCATGTCGAGTACTCTGTAGTGGTCAAGCTAATGCTCAGGGGCTACAACCACAGGGGTCTCCTAAGCGCAAAATGTCAGGATCGCGCACTGATTCTACCACGCGGCCGTCAATCAAGCTAAGTCATGGTTTAATATTTTTTCAAATATTCTTTAATCATCATATATCTCCGGATATTATCCATATGCCTCTGCGGCTCTACTACAGTTGCATCCCCGACTACTAAAGTCTTCTCTTAACGGTTGTTAATTTACCTGGGTTGCTGAGGCCTTAATCCACGAAGCATACTCGTCGGAAAGGTGCGAGAGGTGTTTAAACGTAACAGGCTACCTACCTTGGGAAATTACATGGCCTAGTAAGAGCAAGATGCGAAAAAAATTTATATGCATTTTATAATGTCTTCTCTTAACGGTTGTTAATTTACCTGGGTTGCTGAGGCCTTAATCCGTGAAGCCTACTCGCCGGAATGGTGCGAGAGGTGTTTAAACGTAACAGGCTACCTACCTAGGGAAATTAAATAGCCTAGTAAGAGCAAGACGCGAAAAAATTTAATATGCATTTTATAATGTCTTCTCTTAACGGTTGTTCATTTACCTGGGTTGCTGAGACCTTAATCCGTGAAGCCTACTCGCCAGAAAGGTGCGAGAGGTGTTTAAACGTAACAGGCTACCTACCTAGAGAAATTACATAGCCTAGTAAGAGCAAGACGCGAAAAAATTTAATATGCATTTTATAATACTGGGACATACTTTCAACTTGATATCTTGTGTATCAATTATTACATACTTTCGTATGATTACTTTGCAGGGAACCGTTTTTTGGACCATGTCATCAAGTAAGGAGCTCGCCCACCGCTAGCTGTCGTACTTGGCCACTACTTCGTTGGGTGAGACACACGCCCCACGATGTCTTACTCGCTTGCTCCTCTACAAGTCGCCAGGACGTCCGACTACTCGACCACATGCCTGAGCACTCGGTCGCATGTCCGACTACTCAGCTGCGGTGATCGACTACTCGGTTGGGGTGATCAACTACTCGACAGCTAAGGTCGACCTTGTTGCGGTGATTTGGAAGTTCTAAGGTGGGGTGATACGGGGTCTCCGGTGAGGGGACTGCCCACCCGAAGCCTTTTGATGGATTATCTAGGTTGCCTTACTCGGATCGGATCATGGTCGAACGAGAAGATTTTGCGTCAGCAAGATGAGCACGAATATGAGGATGCACATTCATATTTATATGTACTTTCATTACTCAAGTGAAACAAAGGAAGAGGCATGACATACAGCAGCAAGCAAGAAGACATCAAGCACGCAAGCTAATTATGGAAAGTACTCAGTGGCGCAACTGTGTTGACTTGCAATGGTATATGGATAGCCTACTGCAGTTCGCGGGTTACTTGGATACAATCTTGAGAATGTCTACAAGATCCTACATATCCTCAGAAGAGGTTTGTAGTTCTTTGAACAACTCAGATTCAAGACCCTCCAACTCTTTGTTCCAAATAGCAAGAGGCTCGGGGGCTACACTCAGTGAGTGCACTTTTTCTTGAAAAAAGCCCACATCACTCAGAAGACTTCTTCAAGACAGACCACTTCAAGGCTTCAAGATAAGACCCTCCAGCTCTTTGTTCCAAATAGCAAGAGGCTCGGGGGCTACACCCAGATGGGAGTACTTTTTCTTCAAAAAAAGTACACGTCACCCGAAGATCTCACGAAGCGCTACACGGTTTCGCTCAAGAAAGCACTCGGGCGACACTTGTTCCTGCTCGGCAAGACCTAGAGGAACAAGACGAGGCTTCCGGAGTTCAACCATAAAGTGCTCGGAGGCTTGTCGATGCGGGACCCACGGGATACCCCACAAGGAAGAGAGGAGATCTAGTTTGATTAGGATTCCTCCCATGTAATCCTAGTACTAATACT